TGAAAAAAAAAAAACGACAGTGTTACCCCTTACGTTTTTTTTTTTGGGCGAAAAATTTAGTATCCCCAATCTTCTCAAAACTCTGGATTCTGATAGAGGGCCATGAGACTTAGACCTGAGTGCAACAATGGAGGCTCTAGACCACATGTGTCAAACTCAAGGCCCGCGGGCCACAACCGGCCCGCAAATGAATTATTTTTGGCCCGCATGACAAAATGTATTTATTTTTAGAGCTGGCCCGCCGTTATATCGGTTCAAATTACGTGGGAGCATTGTGTCACGTGACAAGCAATGACGCGTCACCATGGAAACATGACCGCGAAAGCGTCACATTCTGGGCGGTAACCCGGATGAGTGGCCATTATGGGGGCACTCGGATGTAAACAACAGCATTTACTGCACTATGTATGTACTACGGAACACATTGTTACACTAAAAAACACAGAAAAAACCCTTGGTAGGTACGAAATCATATAGAAAAGGACTTACCAAGCAGGAGAGAGCGTAATATTTTGACAAACTAAAGTTAATATGTGGTAATGGTGAGCTTCTATAGCCCGTACTGCAATTCTTCTTTCTATTTTCTTGTTCCGACATAGGCTACGCTCAGATTGTCAGTCCAAAAAGCACATGAAATCCGTTTTAAGCTAGCAGCTACATCCATATGTGGTTTGAAATCCTATTCAAATACCATATGCCTCAGTCTGAACGATCGGATTTCGGATGGAATGCGACTTTCACGCCACATAAAATGTAACTTTAAACATCAGTTTTAGAGGAGACATGCTGCAAGTCGCTGCCAAAATGCTGTGTTGTTGCAAAGTGCCGGACGAGCAGAAAAATATTATTTCTGAAACATGTATTGAAACCGGCGCTGACAAGAACGCGGAAAAAGCCGTAACGTTGCATAACAGATTCCTACCGTTCTGCAGCTCAATACGCAATATAGTCCAGCGCGGCGGTGGCTACACACATCCATGTTGTGAAAAAATTTAATAAGAAAACATCACTATTGCAAATGCAAACCCCTCCATCAGTGTCAATGTCAGTGCCGTATTGCTGATGCTGTGCCTCTGTCAACCACAAACGCCTTCTTTCATCAGTTTTTGCACTCTTCTCTTTAACGTTTGGTAGTCTGTAACTCAAAAGGTATTTTCCCCGATGTGACAGATTAGTACAGACCAAAACTCGGCCATTTTTCAGCATAAATAATCAGCCAAATTTGAAGGAAGGTGAACTTTGAAAAGGTGGACTTTCATTTTTGCATTTCTTTCTCTTGCTATAGGACATTTGATTTTCCTTTGAAGTAAATAACTTTTGTAAATAACCATAAGAAATGAGTGAAACTGATTTTATTTATTAATTTTTTTTTTTTTATTTCCTAATTAATTTTGTTTTATTGGCAATAATATATAGACCTTGTTGTTTTCAGGTTCATAATAATAATACATTGTTTCAATAAGTGTTTAACCTGTCCGGCCCTTGACCTATAGCAATTTTTTGATCTCGGCCCACTGTGTATTTGAGTTTGACACCCCTGCTCTAGACCCTTCCAGAGCTGAGATATCGAAAATCAAAAGTTCGACCCAAAAAAAAACGACAGTGTTACCCCTCACGTTTTTTTTTTTTGGGGCGAAAAATTAAGTATCCCGTATCTTCTCAAAACTCTGGATTCTGATAGAGGGCCATGAGACTTAGACCTGAGTGCAACAATGGAGGCTCTAGACCCTTCCAGAGCTGAGATATCGAAAATCAAAAGTTCGACCCAAAAAAAAACGACAGTGTTACCCCTTACGGTTTTTTTTTTTTGGGCGAAAAATTAAGTATCCCCAATCTTCTCAAAACTCTGGATTCTGATAGAGGGCCATGAGACTTAGACCTCAGTGCAACAATGGAGGCTCTAGACCCTTCCAGAGCTGAGATATCGAAAATCAAAATTTCGACCCGTAAAAAAAAACGACAGTGTTACCCCTTACGTTTTTTTTTTGGGGCGAAAAATTAAGTATCCCCAATCTTCTCAAAACTCTGGATTCTGATAGAGGGCCATGAGACATAGACCTGAGTGCAACAATGGAGGCTCTAGACCCTTCCAGTGCTGAGATATCTAAACTCAAAATTTCGACTCGAAAAAAAAAAACGTCAGTGTTACCCCTTACGTTTTTTTTTTTTTTTTGGGCGAAAAATTAAGTACCCCCAATCTTCTCAAAACTCTGGATTCTGATAGAGGGCCATGAGACTTAGACCTTAGTGCAACAATGGAGGCTCTAGACCCTTCCAGAGCTGAGATATCGAAATTCAAAATTTCGACCAGAAAAAAAACCGACAGTGTTACCCCTTACGGGTTTTTTTGGGGGTGAAAAATTAAGTATCCCCAATCTTCTCAAAACTCTGGATTCTGATAGAGGGCCATGAGACATAGACCTGAGTGCAACAATGGAGGCTCTAGACCCTTCCAGAGCTGAGATATCGAAAATCAAAAGTTCGACCCAAACAAAAAAACGACAGTGTTACCCCTTACGTTTTTTTTTTTTGGGTCGAAAAATTAAGTATCCCCAATCTTCTCAAAACTCTGGATTCTGATAGAGGGCCATGAGACTTAGACCTGAGTGCAACAATGGAGGCTCTAGACCCTTCCAGAGCTGAGATATCGAAAATCAAATTTTCAACCAGAAAAAAAAAACGACAGTGTTACCCCTTACATTTTTTTTGGGGGCGAAAAATTAAGTATCCCCAATCTTCTCAAAACTCTGGATTCGAATAGACGCCCATGAGACATAGACCTGAGTGCAACAATGGAGGCTCTAGACCCTTCCAGAGCTGAGATATCGAAAATCAAAATTTCGACCCGAAAAAAAACGACAGTGTTACCCCTTACGTTTTTTTTTTTTGGGCGAAAAATTAAGTATCCCCAATCTTCTCAAAACTCTGAATTCTGATAGAGGGCCATGAGACATAGACCTGAGTGCAACAATGGACGCTCTAGACCATTCCAGAGCTGAGATATCAAAATTCTAAATTTCGACCCGAAAAAAAAACGACAGTGTTACCCCTTACGTTTTTTTTTTTTTTTTGGGCGAAAAATGAAGTATCCCCAATCTTCTCAAAACTCTGCATTCTGATAGAGGGCCATGAGACTTAGACCTGAGTGCAACAATGGAGGCTCTAGACCCTTCCAGTGCTGAGATATCGAAACTCAAAATTTCGACCCGAAAAAAAAAAATGACAGTGTTACCCCTTACATTTTTTTTGGGGGCGAAAAATTAAGTATCCCCAATCTTCTCAAAACTCTGGATTCGAATAGACGGCCATGAGACATAGACCTGAGTGCAACAATGGAGGCTCTAGACCCTTCCAGAGCTGAGATATCGAAAATCAAAATTTCGACCCGAAAAAAAACGACAGTGTTACCCCTTACGTTTTTTTTTTTTGGGCGAAAAATTAAGTATCCCCAATCTTCTCAAAACTCTGAATTCTGATAGAGGGCCATGAGACATAGACCTGAGTGCAACAATGGACGCTCTAGACCATTCCAGAGCTGAGATATCAAAATTCTAAATTTCGACCCGAAAAAAAAACGACAGTGTTACCCCTTACGTTTTTTTTTTTTTTGGGCGAAAAATGAAGTATCCCCAATCTTCTCAAAACTCTGCATTCTGATAGAGGGCCATGAGACTTAGACCTGAGTGCAACAATGGAGGCTCTAGACCCTTCCAGTGCTGAGATATCGAAACTCAAAATTTCGACCCGAAAAAAAAAATGACAGTGTTACCCCTTACGTTTTTTTTTTTTTTGGGCGAAAAATTAAGTATCCCCAATCTTCTCAAAACTCTGGATTCTGATAGAGGGCCATGAGACTTAGACCTGAGTGCAACAATGGAGGCTCTAAACCCTTCCAGAGCTGAGATATCGAAATTAAAAATTTCGACCAGAAAAAAAAAACGACAGTGTTACCCCTTACGTTTTTTTTTTGGGCGAAAAATTAAGTATCCCCAATCTTCTCAAAACTCTGGATTCTGATAGAGGGCCATGAGACATAGACCTGAGTGCAACAATGGAGGCTCTAGACCCTTCCAGAGCTGAGATATCGAAATTCAACATTTCGACCAGAAAAAAAAACGACGGTGTTACCCCTTAAAGTGCATATTGCAGGTTTAAAAAAAAAAAATCAAAATTTATAGATAACCTTGTATGAAAATACCATATGAAAAGTTAATGCAGGATTTAAAATGTTTTAAAACAACATAAGGTCACTAATTTAGAAGATAAAGTGAGCGTTTCTTGGACTGCTAGTAAAAAACGCTTTTTTTTCAACATCGCGTCATTTGACGTCATATCAGGGAGCCGCACCCTCGGCTCAGTGCAGAGTAGGCTGGTGTTCAGTGAGAGCGCTCGTCAGTCAGTGTGCTTTCGTTAGTTTTTTGCATTTTAATTTATCATCGTCATGGTAAATTATTGTGTTTGTGGAGATTGCAAAAACTCCAGCCTGTCAGGACTTCAAGATCGAGTCCACAAGTTTCCATTACAATAAAAGTGACGGTGCTATATAGCCTATCTTTCGTTCCTGGTGCGGTTTGAGCAGGTGAAGAGACGGGATTTCTCTTCTGCATCGGCTCGGAAAACGCGGTCGTGTGTAGTGTTCACTTCAGATCAAATGATTAGCATCCTGGCGATATGATGGAGTTCAACATGGTATGCCGAAGCAAGAATATTGATCGTCGTATACTACCAATGGCATCAAATAGTGTTATATAGGTAACTTGTCATGCCCTAAATAGAACTTGTAATTGAAAAACAAAATTGGTTGTTTAAATACTCAAATCTTTAATGTTCTGTTTATGTTATGACCTAGGTGAAAAATATGTATTAAAAATTTACTTGAGTATAGCCTATGCTTTTAGTATAGAAATATAGGCTACTCAAGTAAAGTTTTTATACATTTAATAGTATATAAATCTACCCAAAACATACTAATGTCTGCTGGCCTGTTATAGGATCATAATAATCTGCATATACATATATGTATATGTATATATGCAATATACATAGACATAACCCCAGAATCTGATTGTGTCTTTCTGCTTCTCCTTTAAGTAAGTAAACAGTGAACTTTCAGCTAAACGGGACAGTTTCACACCCTCAATAAGCATTGTCTTTTTTTCTGTTTTTCTTTTTCAGATTCTCAAAGACGGGCAACTATGAGATATCTGCATGTTTTAGGTGAAAAAACACATGATCAGGGTTGGAATATACTTGGACATAAACACACTTACACAATAGAATGTATAGAATGTATAAACAGCACTTGCATCTCTGTTTACACGTATCACTCTTGCAGTGTCCTCATATCAGTTCTATCTGTCAGCAAAGGAAAAGAATGCAGCCATGATGCCATGAACACACATTCCTCAAAGCAATCTCTTTACCTCATAAAACATCTTCTTTGGATAAATATAGTCAGGTTACCAGAGCTCTTATTTGAAAATCTGTGAAAAAAAGCATGTTTTTGAAAGTGAAAGAGGACCGATTACAGACAGCTGTGGCACTCCAAATGTTCCTCTCCACCCCATGGTTAGGACAGCAGTTAGTGAGGGACTTCCTGCATGGAAAGCTGTGTATGTTTTCCTTCAGTGAATCGAACATCCTGCAGATCTTAAATTCCAGTCAGCAATAAACTCCCTGACCTCTGAGCACAAAATTAGGTGCATCATATAAGCAAGAGACAAAAGCGAAAGGAGGGACTGCAAAACAAAACCAAAAGATAGAGATAAAAGAAAATGACAAAGAATGAACAGGAGAATGCAAACTCACACATTTCTGGGTGAGTTTTCTTAATTATTCATTGTATGAAAAGGATAACGAAAAAGGAAACTACTTTACATGATTAATAATTAGCAGTTACATTTGTTTTGTTTTTTTTTTGTAAGTTATAGTCACAGTTTAAATTTTTGAAAAATATAAACAACTAAAAATATAAACTAAATATAAATTTCTGTCTCCCTTACCTGACCTATTTTTTTTAGATGTAACCATAATGTCATCAGTTTAATCTAGTCAAATGAATACATTATATTTTTGTTGCCAATTGATGTATGTTACCACATGAAACACATTTGTTAGGTTGTTAGGTTAGGCCTACATGATTACAAACTTATTTATTTGACCGTATAGCTAATTTAGAGAAACACTTGGACAATGAACAAAGCAATCCATATAAATAGATTTACTCACCGTATTGTAATGCTCATAAACTTCAAGCCTCTTTTTACATATAAGTGAGATGATCAATTCATTTATTATGACACATGCATGCAAATAGGGATCATCTCATATTACTTCTTTCATCCAATGTCTGAAAACACAATGTTTCTTGCCATGAAAGATTCAGATTTTATTTTTTATTATATGGACAGGGTTGTCAGTTGCAACATGCGGTGAACCCTATCTGCCAATATGTTTATTCAGGTATTATCAACTGACTGATGAAACAAACTACTCACCAGTCAACATATGTTCCTAATTTGCTGGCTTTATTTGATTTTAAACCACATGTTTTCTTCTTTAAATGGTTGTGAATGTTTGCAACAGAGCATTCTCTGAAGATCACAAACAATATGTTTTTACAATTGTATGTTTTTGGCATTACGAGCAGTGATGAATTTATCCTTGGGGGGGGGGCATGGTATTATTTAATGAACATGGACATACAATCCCAAAATATATTGATTGGCTATATATTCAGTGTTTTTGACCTCCTTCCTCTTGTCCTGAAATTTCCCCATATTGAAAAAGAAAAAGAAAAATCTTAAAGGTAAGTGGAATTCCATCATTACTTTGAAGAGCTGGTTCTGTGTTATGTTCACCACTCCCTGGGGTTTACATGTGTAGCAGCACCAAAATTTTAAAACAACTAATAAAGTATGCCATACTATATTGTAAATATTACATTTAGAGCAGTAATCCTCTATGTATTAATTTAATGTGCAGAATGTATATGATCTCCGACCAATGTTTAAGTTTGACATATCTGAATGCCTCCAAATAAATTATTTTGCATATGTGCATATTAACACCTTTTCTTCTGTTTCTCATTTCCTGCGTTTCTCTTTGTCTGAAATCACATGCTTTATCTGGAGTATTATTGTGTACAGCTCTCAAAGGACAGAGATGTTTCCCAGAGCAGATCACATGACCCTGTCATGCGCTATCACTGAAGTTGTTCTCTTATTGGTCGGTTACTCCACAATGCCACAATTTGTGCATATTGTATCATAGTATTTTTTTTTTCTAAAAAAAATTTTTTGTGCTAATTTAGAGATTAGGGGCTGGAAATGGGATTATATAGAATGTTAATCTTTACATGTGGTTAAATGGTGTTTTCCCCTCTATCGTTGTCCTTATTTTGTTGATGATGACACTTTCTCTGCTTCAGGAAGCAGGTCTCCAAGGAAATGCACTGCTACATCACAGTGCCTGATCACAGGAACAATGTGAGTGAATGTTTAGCTTTCTGAACAAAGCGATACCACATGATGTGGTGGGTGGAAAAGAAATCTCAATGCCCCTCTGTCGTATTCTTTATTTACTTTTTGGCTCTCCTTCATGTACCATATCTGTCAGTGCCTCTTTACTGGCGTTTAGGTGGTGTCGCCGAAATTCAAGACACAGTAAACACCACAGACAGTCGACTATGACGCGACCTTGGAACATGTTCCGTGCAATGACCATTATAAAATGCTACGTCTTTCATCTCTTTCCCTTTAGACATTGGGCTGTGGGATTGCAGCTGTGTGGCGGGTGCCACCAGACTGTTCATGTCTTGCCTTGTGTGTATGTGTGTGCGAGCGAGCGATCCCTTGGGGCTCTCTCCCTCAGCCCAGGCTCCCTGATTCGGTGTGTAAAAGCACCCCTGAATGATGGATTACTGTGTCAGTGCGGCCTGCGAAGGATTAATTTGTTTCATTGATTTCTCTTTAGGCAGAATGCCAGCGTTTGCTGCTTCCCACCTCCTTCCCGGAGACTCCCGGCCATAATAGACGGTAATGGCCTAAGACAAATCAACCCGTTTCTTGTAAAAATAGCAGCAAATAACCCCTGACTTTGCCTCACGAGCGTAAACCAGAGAGAAGCTCGATTCTGACAGCCGCATTCACAGCGGGCATTAACCCCAGGAGAAAGCTTGTGCTCCACTTGAACAAAGCCATAAGTCTTGAATACTTACGTCCCCCACTCACAGCTCAGAATGGATTGGTAATGACCGACTGTCTGGCTGTGCAGGTTAAGTGCGCTTTGCCTGGGCCAATCGCAGGAACGAGTGACCTCCGCGATGTTTACAACACCATCTTACCAAGCAACAGTTTCTGTGCATTAGTTGGACATATGGGTATCATATTTAAGCACCACAGAGAACCCTAACAAATGTAGCCTATAAACACTCACCCCTGACTGTGTTTGCTAGCTCTCGGGCTGTCGTTGTGATGTTGCACGACTGAGGAGAAGATGAGAGAGTGTGTGGAGCTCTGGCCAGGACCCTCTATGTGGACTCTAAAGGGCCCAGGAGTTCACAAAACAAGCACAAACACACAAAAAAGAAATCAATCTGATGTGAATCCACAGTAAAGTGGTGGTTCCAAATCTTTAGTTTAGAAACGTTCTGAGTGCAATCCTTAAAATTACCAGTAGGGAATTATACACCTTGAAATGGTCACTTCAGGTTTGGGTCACATGAGTTTAAGTCACTTTATAAAAACTATTACCTGATATTACATCAACCCACCTAAAATGGCCTGTGTTTGAATATTTTCATGTGAAAATGCATTGATTTGTTACATTTATATGTATGCATTTGGCAGACATTGCCTTCGAGGTACACATTAACATTTTTATCAGTTCTTGCTTTCCCTGGAAACCAAACCATGACCTTAGCATTGTCGGCTACAGAAAAAGCCTGTAATATTAGACACTAGTTTTGTTGAGTTAAAAACTATCTCTCTCTAGACAACGAAGTCTTATATTTAAATTAAAAATTAAAAGTACGGTGGTTCTTCTCCCATCAAGTCTTGAATGACCAGTTTAACACTTTGCATGCACAATTTGAACATGTCTAATTTAAAAAGAAAAAAAAAAATCCATTTCAGTTATACCAGGGTTGATTTCAGCCAATACCATTTGCCATTTTTTAAAAGATGTAGGGGAGAGCGGGGCACAACCTAATGCATTTTGGTTTTGGCTCAGTTAATTTAAAAATAATTAGGTTAGATTAATATATATATTTTTTTTACAAAAGCAACATACACATCTCTGCTACAAATGAACACTTAAAGTTTTTTTCTTTTCTAGGACCTACCATTTTCGTACAGTTGGACTGAAAGTGACAGAAGTGCAAATGTTACAACTTACCCCATATGTGGGGTTAATTGTAACAGACAGAGGGGTTAGTTGTAACACTTGTGTGTAACACACATAATTCAGTACAATTTTATTTGTATAGTGTATAGACAGTTATCCATACATCCATCCCTCATCCAATCATCCTTCTATTATGGATCAATATCAAGGATAGAGACTGCAATAAATAATAATAAATAAAATTATAAAATATTGTAATTGCAATCAAATTAGATTTGTGTGTGGCATGTACAATTATTACTGTTAATAATAATAACAGTAATAATCATACAAATGAGCTTAAAATAATAATTTTAAGGGTTTATTGCATTAAAAACAGGCCATATTTTTAATAAATAAACAAGTTATCATTCATTTCATTCATTTTTTCATAAATTTGAAACATTTTTAAATTCCAACATTGTTTGTGGAAGTCCAACAAGTTAAATGTATACTCAAACCTGAAAACTTGTGAGGCTCCGTTTTCATTTGATTATCGTTGTACACTTGGCGGCTTGTTTGTAACACTGTGTTACAACTAACCCCGCTGTGTATTACATATTTTAACCCTAGCTAACAGTCGCTAGGAATCGCTGACAAGTTTCAAAACGGTGCTATGTTTGAGCCAACAAGACAGTGATTAAGGCAATATAAAGAAAAAAATCTATGATGAAAAAATTTACTTTAATGGTGTCAAAACACTTTTTGTCCAGTGTCTTCACGAAATATAATCAAAATTTTCCGCAAATTCGCGGGAGACCGTCTTCTGGCAGCAAGAGAAAAATATCGTAAACACAGCCTGCGTTAGGTTGTGCCCCGCGCTCCCCTACTCATTCAGGTTTGCGGTCTCCATCTCTGTTTGTTTGAGCAGAATTACTTACTGTCCTTCCACTGAAGGCACTGCAGTGTAAACACTCAACAGACACAGACCAAATCAATCCTAATGCCCTTTCAGCTCTGTCTAGAAACAAAGTCCTTCAACACTGATGCTGTGGGTGAAATAAGGTAATCTCAGCTATAATACTAACTCATTGCTAGCCTCTTCCCAGGCTCCTTGCTGCCAAGAGCTGTGTTCCTCTCAAAAAAAAAAAAAAACAAACAAACAAAAAAAAACAACAGTTCTCAGGGGTCCTTACATCCTTAAGTGGCTCCAGAAAAGGTTAGTTGTCAGGTAATTGTCCAGCTGCGGTTGGGCTTATCTTAATCACAGTGCTTCAGCATAAGCCTGGGTCTGTGTTATGAAGAGGCTAACGGTGCTAAAGGGGAGGGTGGCTAGCTGAGGGATTTCATTGTTCTGTTTCTCTTTTTTTGCCTGCCTGGTGTGCTGAGATAGCCAGACCAAAGTATAGAAAGTTAGCGTCAAGCTACCAAGCATAATGTGGACAAAGTGTCGGAGTACTGTAATACACATAACAATATTTCATACAGAAGAAAAACAAAAAGAACAAATGGAATGGAAACGCAGCAACACCTTTGAGCCGTCTAGAACCAAACAAGCAAGTCAAGGCACAATCCTTTTGTCATGGTTTGTAATGTATATCTGTAAAGTACAGAAACTTGAGGGTTTGTGAAGCCTTTGATGTTGCCACTGAGTCACTGTTTAAGGGGAATGGTTGGAGGAAAACTGCATTCAGGATCCATAACACTTATACAGGGTCTTTCGGGAACATTGAACAAAATAACAACAACAACAACTAAGAAGGCCTCTTACAAGGGTCAGCAAATGCAACCAAACATCTATTAACTCGAAGCCAAATTAAAATATACAAAAAGAGGACAGATCTCTGATCATAGAAACGCTAAAACTGTCGTTGCAGGCAGCCATTTATTCTGATGTAGTTTGCAGTGGTGACGCATAGTCTGCTGTCATTTTGCTCCACCGACGTCAAAGGTCGAACACAAACTATAAAATATTTGTCGGGGGTCGGTCCATCAATAACGCTGACATGCCGACCCATACAGTACAAAGCTAGAGGCAGAATGAACTGTCTCGACAAAAGCATCTGGTGCACATGTTGACCTAGAGGCCAAAAGGTTAGCAGCCAGACTCCTCTACCCATCCCCACTATGCTTTCATATGTTCATTTGATGGTCGCTGTGGCAATTATAAAGGTATACTTGAGCCAGGTCTAATGGACTAGGGGCAAAGAGCAAAGCCTTTACAGTGGGGACCCAAGTCAAAGGTTAGCATGGTCATAAGACTAATTATGGAGCATTCGATGAGATGGAAAGATGCGGGAAGCGCATATGCTCAACTGCTCATCTTTATGCATATCTTACCTATGGACATGTCGTATGGAAAACACATTAATGATTTCAGTAAATGCTGTTTTTGTTGCCTAGATTGCCACCGGCTTTTAATAACTATTAAATATGAATGGTCAAGGTCATGAGGGTCACAGTCTGCATTTAGAGTGTATGACCAGTGCCACATGCAAAGGTTAAAATGGAATTGCTTGTGCCAAGTTTATGAAGAGCCCCATTTATGCAGGCCAGCAGGGGTGATTTATGACCGGAGATAAGAGGAAGGATGGGTGGAAAACTCTTTCTTTTTCAAATGCAATCAGCTTCTGTAAATACGCAGCTTACTTATATCCATCACGCTGTCGCAGGGAATCGTCGTTCCTTTGCTTAGATGAAACAACAGCTTTTGTCTGGGTACCGACAACTGTGCTTTTGAAGAACAGTTGTTTTATCATTTTGTGTGTGTATGAAGCTCACTTTCCAGGTTCCCTGATATTAGCCTATGCAATTACATCATTCTAAGCATACCATATCACAACATATTTAAAAGTAATCACTCATTTAATTATCTGTGTAATCCATTGTAACAGCAGTCCTATGTAAGCAGACGGCATAGTTAAAAGGGAGGATAGTCTCCTAAAGGAGGCTCTGTTCATTCAATTGGTCATATAAAAGGAAAACTGTATTTTTCTTGGCATCTGATTCAGAAGCGACTGCATGTCTCATCATTTCTACCTGCCCCCATAACTAGGTAAAGTTATTGCATACTTGGTCTGGTTTAATTAGATTTAAAACAATTCATCTTGATTGAAACGACCTGAATTTTTGGCATTCCATAATGTGTCCAAAAGGTAAATTTGATCTGCTATCAGAACAGCCACATATTCAGAGCTAAAACTGTGATGTTTTGTCACTGAATACCACGGCCAAGAACATTTGTGGGTCTTTGGCCCTTAAATCTGAAAACCACTCAGTGGTATGATCTTTGTGAAACTGCACCCCAGTGGCTCAGGGTCTGGCTGAAATGGAAAAAAAAGAACGAGAGATGTGCTTTGAACTCTTTGCCAAAACGGAAACACGGTCTAGTGCTGCTCATTTTAACGAGTCATAAGAACTATTTTTGTTCCCTCATATTGCAATAAATTTGGTCTTTCCTTTTTATGTAAGTTTAATGTTTTTCTAGGTGTGGATCAAAGGGTGATAATTCAGAAAACCATTTGCATCAATAGATTTTAGCCCATGCCTCTCAATGTCACACACAAATCTAGTTTCATTTTTACTATATGTTGCACTTGGACTTCAGCAACCAATTGCAGCGGTGAAAGAATGAAAATATATGGAGCACCGTGGGAAAAGTCAAACAAAAAAGTTAATACAACAAACCAAAATATTGGTTTGATGACTGACATTTGAAATAGGGCATAGGATGGATGTAATTTAAGCCTAAGTACACTCTTCCCTCTTTTCACACACCCCTCTGGGTGACAGTTATTAATGCCATTTCCTCTTGTCTTATTATGTCATACGAGACATTTAAAGAACGTCATCTTCTGTAAGGGCCCGGCATTCTGTTTGTAGTCAGAGTGCAAATTATCATCAAACCAGATCGAGTTATCATCACTGTCCTCCTATGTGTTATAAAGTGCTGTTCTTCTCTCTATTCTAGTTCTTTAAAACGTCTTCTTTTTTATTTTTATTTTTTTTTTTGCCTGCAACATTTAATATTAGAATATGGCTTTAAAAAAAGGCTTAATGATTTGTGTGAATTTTGTGTATGAGCGTGTGTGATGTATTGTCTCTTATTGGGACAGATCAACCACTGGCTGTTTGTGTGTTCAGAGAACAGAGCTTTGCATTAAAATATGATTTTATCAATAGTGTGATCAATAGTGTCAGCCTGCCATTGTGTAATTATTCTGGCCTCCTGTATCAATAAAGCTGCAATAAAGCTGTCATGCTTGATCTCTTGGTCGTGAACATGCTGTAAGCAGTCAAAAACTTGGAGAGGGGGCTGGGAGCTTTAATATCATATCCTTATCTTTATCAATACAGATTCCTAACATCATTTAATTATGGCCATAAATGCCCAGGCAATAAACCTGCACATTTGATTTAGTCTATTAATGGATATTCAATATGACATCAAAGGTAATCAAGGATAGAAACCAGGCTAACTTACATCTTAAGCTATATCATATCACTCGAGTCATGTTCAGAAAAAAAAAAAAAAAAAAAAAAAAAAAACATGATTGCGAGTGTATTGTTTTATACGAAAATTAAAAAAAAAAAAAAAACAATAATCGATATTAAGTTACTTACATTTCGAAACAGTACTGTCGCGGCCGGCTCTCTCTTAACAACACAAGCTTCTAGCAATGAAAGAGTGATTTCGAAAGAATCGGTTGAGTGAACAAAGACCCGAAGACTCGTCCCTCATTTCCTCCCCGAATGAATCAATCATTTTAAACGAATCGTTGACTGATTTATTCACTAAAATATACAGTCCCTCTGTACTGTCGCCTCCTATTGGTGTAAAGATGTAACATGTAGAAAGAATCACTGAACAATCTACAATAAACACGACTATTTCAATCTTTTCTTGT